ACTCTTAGCACCTAAGACAGAAAAAACCCCAGCACTCCTTAGGAAAAAAATACACTAAGATACTTCCTTTCTGGACAAGCTGTGAATATCACAGATACATCTATAGACAGTGCAAAGCAGCAAAATCTCACTACTCTTTTTTTTTTCATCTTAAACCTTGAGATCTGCAGTTGAAACATGATAAAATCCAGAAAGCAGCAGATTTTTCTCAAATGCTGAAGTAAAGACTTCAAATCAGTTTAAAAACAAAGTAGTAAAGGCAATTTCACAACTGAAGAAGTTCTAACACAGAAACAGATGTAACATTACAATAAAATTTTTACACATAGATAAAGCACAGGGGAAGAGCTAAAGAGATACTTAAGGATTTTGTCCTAATGTGTATAATTTAAATTAACTCAGTTCCTTTTGTTCTTTTTACATAGAAATAGAAAGCAATAGATGTAGAGTCCCACAGTGAGTAAAGAATTTATTAGGGCATTCCTCCCAAAACTGCTTTGTCTTCCAATGCTTTAAGGGAAGGTATCTACTCCAAGAAAGCAGTTATTTGACAAAAAATGCTGTATTTTCTGATTTGCCATGACATACACAGCAATGACAGACAGCTGGTTTCTTAACTTTAGGACCTTGTCAGATACAATGCACTGACTACATTACTCCAGCTGAAAGTATTGCTAATAAAGCTGCAAATAATTTCCTTATTTCTAAACACATAGCTGGAAAAAAATGCAGTTTGTTTCCTAAATAGCATCTTTTTAACCAGCAATAGCAAAATCCAGCAGGACATCTAAAATCAAGTCAAACAAGGTGTTAAGTTGAAAAGGTAAGAAACAAAAAAGGAATTAAGTGTTTCCATCTGTATTCTCTTTTGGATCTTGGGAGAGGAAGTACCAAACCAGCTTCCCACACGGGCCTGTGCTCATAAAAAGAGCTGCAGGTGCCACGAGTCACGCCAGGGCTGCTGAAAAGGTCACTAACTTCTTTTCAGGGACATGCAGCTTCCTGGTCATCAATCCACCAAAATCACATTAGTCATTCCAGGAGCAGAATTCATGAATTTCAGGTCATATAAAGCAGAAATAAGAATTTCCAAAATGTATACTTGTTTCCTGTTTTTCACGTAATGTGGAATAAAAGAAAAAAATGCACTGATAAACCTCACACACGAGGCAGGAGGGAGAAACAGACTCGCATCACATGATGGTATCTTTACAATCCTACTGTTCCAGAGGCTTGTCTCTGCTTTTGAAACACAACTTTAGATCATTCTATTTATTATTAAATTGTTTTTCTTGTAAGAAAAATCGGAAGTCTACAGTAACAAAACTTGGTCTTTGCCATATCCTCACTGACCCAATTATCCTTCAACAAGAGATAAGCAGTCACTATGATTATGAATGTTCATGCAGTGGAAGGCATTACTATTATTCAGGAAAAAAAGTAAATCATAAACTCAATTCTAATCTTCCCAGAAGTGAAACATCACAACAATTCAGAATACATAAGTGATCAGAAGATAAAGGTTTGAAGGGGGCCTACAAGAAAGCTGGGGAGGGGCTTATCAGAGGAGATAGTGATAGGACAAGGGGTAATGGTTTTCATCTGAGAGAAGGGAGATTCAGGTGAGATACTAGGAAGAAATTCTTCACTCTAAGGGTGGTGATGAGCTGGAATGGGTTGCCCAGGGACATTGTTGATGCCCCATCCCTGGAGGTTTTTAAGGCCAGGTTGGATGAGGTTTTGTGCAACCTGGTCTGGTGGGAGGTGTCCCTGCTCATATCAGGGGGGTTGGAGCCTGATGATCTTTAAGGTGCCTTCCAACCTTAACCATTCTATGATTCAGTGATCATACTCTGTATCTTGTTTGTCACCAAGCTTCAGCCCCAGAGGTCTGGTAAACACACATGCAATCCACTTTGGTGTCAACATTTTCTACATGTTCTGATTGCCAATTGATTTTCTCATCCTGGGGACATGACCAGGCTCTTTGTAAAGCACACCACACAGATGTCAGAGAGGCACCAGGCAGAGCAGCCTCTTCAACTATGAAACTTGCTCAAAATGTAAAGGCCTTTACAACCACCTTCTCCTACCAGATGAATTAGAAACAGACTCGCATCACATGATGGTATCTTTACAATCCTACTGTTCCAGAGGCTTGTCTCTGCTTTTGAAACACAACTTTATATCATTCTATTTATTATTAAATTGTTTTTCTTGTAAGAAAAATCGGAAGTCTACAGTAACAAAACTTGGTCTTTGCCATATCCTCACTGACCCAATTATCCTTCAACAAGAGATAAGCAGTCACTATGATTATGAATGTTCATGCAGTGGAAGGCATTACTATTATTCAGGAAAAAAAGTAAATCATAAACTCAATTCTAATCTTCCCAGAAGTGAAACATCACAACAATTCAGAATACATAAGTGATCAGAAGATAAAGGTTTGAAGGGGGCCTACAAGAAAGCTGGGGAGGGGCTTATCAGAGGAGATAGTGATAGGACAAGGGGTAATGGTTTTCATCTGAGAGAAGGGAGATTCAGGTGAGATACTAGGAAGAAATTCTTCACAGGGTGGTGATGAGCTGGAATGGGTTGCCCAGGGACATTGTTGATGCCCCATCCCTGGAGGTTTTTAAGGCCAGGTTGGATGAGGTTTTGTGCAACCTGGTCTGGTGGGAGGTGTTCCTGCTCATATCAGGGGGGCTGGAGCCTGATGATCTTTAAGGTGCCTTCCAACCTTAACCATTCTATGATTCAGTGATCATACTCTGTATCTTGTTTGTCACCAAGCTTCAGCCCCAGAGGTCTGGTAAACACACATGCAATCCACTTTTGTGTCAACATTTTCTACATGTTCTGATTGCCAATTGATTTTCTCATCCTGGGGACATGACCAGGCTCTTTGTAAAGCACACCACACAGATGTCAGAGAGGCACCAGGCAGAGCAGCCTCTTCAACTATGAAACTTGCTCAAAATGTAAAGGCCTTTACAACCACCTTCTCCTACCAGATGAATTAGATAAAGGTCCAAAATCAGAATGATCCAAGTCTTCCTCAAAAAGCCTGGGTAAACATGCTGGAAAAAGCAGCACTCGTATTACAGATGGTAACTGATTTTCTTTTTAATGACAAAACTGCGTTGGCTAATAAAAAATTTAATATTTGTGATGCATCTATTCAAGTCAACATCTTAACTGTTAACCAAACACCACTGCCTCGTCCCCATGGGAAGAATTTCCAATTCATACCTGAAATGGATTGGATGACATGACATACGGGACAATGTATGACTCATGTTCAGTAATTTCTAGTTGCACATGTACAGCTAGAACTCAGTAACTTTTGGCTAAGAGGTTACCCATCCTCTCCTTTAAATGTACCTCTTAAAGGCTTGACAGCTTTTATAATCTAGTCCTATTTTTAGCTTATATTTTAATGTAAAATTGTATTAAAAAATTACTTACTCCCACCATTCATTCTCCTTTCAGATCTCCTGTTCAGGTTTTATACACTAGACATACTAAGGCAAACAACCCATAAAGCTTTTTGGTCTCTTCACACTGTGAGGTATACTGTAATTTATAGGCAAAAAACCTGTAGAGAAAGTTGCATGCCCAGGATGCTGTTACTTTTCACAATTACAGCTTGCCTGAACATCTAAGGCCATCTAAATTTTAAATTATACACGTCACTTCAGTTACTACATTACAGCTCAATCTGAAGCTAATAAGTACGTTTTGTAAAATAAATTAATACTTCACTTGAGGAAGCCTTAGAGAAGTCCAAACATCCAAACTGTGCTTCTGTTAAGTCACTGCATTAATGCACAGATTTGACACCTTTTTTTTCCCCACAAGCTTTGATCAGCTTCCTCCATCTTCTCAATTTGCCTCCACATCAAACTGTTCAACGCAGTATAAACAGCATTATACATGAGTCCTCCAACAATTCCAGCTGGATTTGTAGAGCAAGACTCTGCCCTTGAATTGTTATTGCACCTTCCCAACAGAGGCTTCATTTCCCACCAGACAGGCCTTCTGAAATGGGTTTTCTTCTAACCCGTTTGCCTGTCAGAGAGAAGAAAAATTATTAATGTAAAAATGTTTGCACATCTCAGTTTTCTCATCCTAATGTTATAGGCTAATAAACGTGAAACCTGCAATTCACTGTTTCTTAAAAATTAAAGGATAAATTGTATTGAAAAGCTCAAAACTTATTCTTTAATATTTCAACTGAATGCAGTATTACTATGAATTAGGCAGCAAAGAAAACTTAACAGTGTGTGTAGTGTGATTAAACTGATTAAGTACAATGATTGCCAGGTAATTAACATGACTGCACATCAAGAAGAAAAACATTTTTATCTACACTAGGCCTGCTTGTTCCTAAGCTAACAATTCCTTATTGATAGGGTTTTTTCCCTTCCTGTTTTCACACTAATCCTTCCAGGAAGCAATTCCCAAACTTAGTGGAAGTACTTCTTACCTTCTGTTCCATTACTTGTTGAAACAAACAAAACTTTCATTTTCCATTTCAGAAGTTTTGTTTACTGCCCATCTACAACAGGGAAACACTTAAAATGGCTCCATCCCAGGGGGCTAATAAAGGATGAAACACTTCCTCAGGTATCTATCTAATTATATTCCACTACAAAACATGGCAAGGAAAGAGGAACAACCCAATATATTTTAAATATGCCTCATTTTAAGGGGAATGTTGTTGGTACTATTGTGCTTGATTATTTTAGATTGCTTTTCTAAAATTTGTTTTCCTTTAAGGAAACAAAGTATCGTTAATCTGCACAGAATTTAATACATACAGGTGAAAGCTGTATGGGGCCTTTTTGTCTCTAAGAGCCAAAGAATAAATTTCACCTCCACTGAAAATGAGAGAAAGGTGGCTTTAAAAGCTTCACACACACATTCATCCACACACAATCTCAGCAATACACAGGAAAGATGGAGGGAAAATAATGTAAAGCAGTAAAAGAAATTTACTCTGTCTCTTCATTTTTAAGCAACTGGTATTTGGGACTCTGGAGATCTTCAATGCTCTCAGCAATTGGCTTATTTAGTGTTTCTGGCAGAAGGAGAGTCAGGAATCCTGCTGAAAGTCCACTGATTCCAAACACCACAAATGGCACAGAGGGACTGAGAGATTTCTGAAATTAAAAATCCATAGTCAGTAACTAGCGTGTTCTCTGCTCTTAAAATAGGACTCTCATGAGCTGCAGTCAAAACCAAGAGACTACAAGTTCTCACTCCAGCAAGCTGTGCAATCATCCATGTCCTGGTAGAACAGAGAAACCCAGTAAGTGTTACTTCACAGAAAAATTATGTGCCTGAAGGACCTCACAGAGAGAGCTTCAGCAGTACCCAATGCATTATTTAACAACTATTTTTCAAAAAGATGAAATATTAACACAGAACATTAAACTATTTCCAAACAGGGTAAAATACCAGGTTTTTTTTAACACCCTGTTCATTATTTCTTGAAGCGGAACGAAATTTTATTTTTCATTGAACATAATTATTTTTAAAGGAATACACATGTATGTGGCATCACAATCCAAGTCCTTTTTTGAGAGAGTTTAATAAACTCAAGTTATGTAAAACGTAGAAAATAATCTTACCATAGACGGCACAAATGGAGCCAAAATGCCCCCAAATCTGCAAGACATGGAACAGACACCCAAGCCAGCATTTCTGTTTCAAACAAAGAATGAAAGATTTGTAGTTTCAGAATGCAGGACTGAATCATGCATGAACATGTGGTGGCACTGTCAGAACCACCTTTTTTTTTTTTTAAATGTTATCAATAGTTTTATATTTTAAAATAATTTGTTTTACACACTTCCATCAGTTACTCCAAAGTTTTCTTCAACTAGCTGCTAGTGAGGTAAATCACACCCTTTGAAAACCTAACAAAAGCTCTCTTTTGTGCAATCCTTCACAGGAGTTTGGACAAAGAGAGAGGTTTTCCGACCTGCCATAAAGGACAACTTATCGGGACATCTCTGTGCTTAATGAGCAATTATTTCATAATTTGGCAGGATCTTCAGACTGAAGGATCTGAATGTTATCTGCAGCACAGGCCCTCAGCAGCAGCCCAAGTTACCCAGCTAAGTCAGTGCTTACCTCCAAACAGAAAATCAACTACTTGCCAGTGTGAAGCTGGAAAACATCTGATCAGATGTGTCACTAGAGGGGCTGCTGAATTCTGCCTTCCATTCAATTTTCAGACACTTGTTTAAAACAATCTCATCTAGATGGTGAACATCAAAGCATGGGATAAAACAGCAGGATCCTCTTCAAAGAAATTTAGTAAAATACCACCAAAGTCTTTCATTTCCTGATCAAATGCAAAAATCTTCCTAAAAAGTGTTTAGCAGCCCCTTCAGAGACTGACACTGGCACCAGCCCGACAGTGAGCCCTGGCTCACAGTGGCAGGTCTTCTCCTTCCATCTGTCAGTTTCTCCCTCTCATCCCTCATCATCCTCAGCCACACAACTGAACTGAGCTGCTCCCACTCACCCCATTTCCTTTCCCTCCTCCAAAGACAGGAAGACAGTGACAGGATGAAAGACGACCAGCACAGAGGTGACACGGGTCACCAAAGCCACCCACCTCCAAGTCCTTCCCTAATGGCCCTTTGCACAAGTCAAGGGAAACAGATGATGGAAGGAACGGATGAGAAGCCAGTGGCTGTGGTGTAAAAAACAAACAGACAAAGCAACCTTTTCTCTTATCAGGTCCACTTGGGAAAAGGAAAAAGCAATCCCTGCTTCCTCACATTGAGCCAACATAGACCCAGACCCCACAAGACAAGGTCAAGTACCTCCCCTATCAAGAAAATCCTGGAGCAGATCAGAGACACCAGTCTGCATGTGAACCCTTCATTTAGAAGCATCCTTCCCACATAACCATATCCAGAGGTTTTCTGCTGAGAGCAAGTAGGGCAAAAGGTGATCCTAAATGCAGACTGTGTCATTTCACTGTGCAAGTAAGCAAATAAGCTTTGCAACACTACCCTGGACAGTCCAAGGACCCCTCTCCAATTCCATCACATTCCGACCATTGTTTCATTTAAAAATCCCCATGAGTTTGTTTTTACATCTAGGTCTATGATTACATTTTGTTCCCCAAGACAACCTTTCTTTGTCTCAAATACAACAGTGGTGATGTTTTCTAACTTTTTTTTTGCTCTCCAGCAGGTATTTGAGACACAGAAAGGAAAAAAAGCCCCAAGCACATCCACTCTTCTCCAGACAGCACGAGGTGTGCTTGGCATTCCTCCATACAACTATCAACTTCATGGCTAACAGCCCTCGTGCTCAAAGTAGTAATCAGCTTTAAATAAGGAGCAGTAATACAGAATAAAATTTTCTGCAAAACATTCAACTGGAATAATTAAAAGAAAAGAAACCCGAGGTAATTCCCCCTCCTCTCCACTGCCTTTGAATGGTGCAGGTCCCACCCCTGGGCATGTCTGAGCTCTGCGGTCAGAGCAACGCCAGTATCACCCCTGAGCTTTGCAAAGACCACCAGGTGGTGCTGATGCTTTGCTTTAAATCGAACACTTGCCCATGATTGCTTTCCTTATATAAACTATAATATAAATACCAGAGAGACAGAAAGTGTATTTTTACATTTATAAATGGTCACGTGCGAGCAATTTCCGTATGATGTAACATAATTTGACATGCTATTCAACATGAGTGATCAAATAAAGTTGCTCATCTTTTTAAACTGACTGTATTCCTGCATTTTCTCCACTGGAGGTCTCTATCTTTGACATATGAAGTTACTTTTTTTGCCAGAATCTTGGTGGAGATTCTCAAGTGAAGCAGACTTCAGAAGACAGCATAACATGGATGCAAGTGAAACAAGCAAAACCTGAGAAATTAAAATATGCTCCATTCTCTTGATCTGAACTCCAGAAAAGCAGAGGGGACAGGAAAGCAAGAAGTCAAAGCCAACCACTTAAAAAACCCCAAAAGTTTGGGGACAGGGAAAATGTGAACAAGCCCCACATCCAATTGCAGTCAGTGTGGTTGGGACTTGCCTATTAAACCTAAACCTGTGCCAGGAATCACAAGTTCAGTATCTATAAATGGTCTATCCACCTCCAACCTCCCAAGTTTTACTGCAAAAACTGCATTCATGATCTAGCTTTTATGCCTCTGTAACATGGAAAATGTTACAGGAAAAGGGAAAAAAAAGCCAATCTAAGAGTTACCCACTTCCCCCCCACCTCAAGGCTCTCAGTGTCCTTGACTAAAGTGATTTATGTCACCATCCCAAATACCCTTATGGTGCTATAGGACATTGTCTACCAGCCAGGATGCCTCCCTGCTCCAGCTTCCAACCCACCTGCTCTCCCTAAAGAGGACTCAATTTTTGCAGCAGTTCCATAGTTGCTATTCTTGAGCAACCAGTGCAGTTTGTCCCCAGTTCTGGACACAGAGCACTGTTCAGAAAACCACTTGGAACCAAGACTGGGGGGGCAGCCATGTGGTATTACATTTTTTCATCTCAGTTTTATCTTGGGACAACAGGAGAGGGAGTAACCTCACCAAGAATTGGTAAGAACTATGGAAAATAATTTAGGGTTTTAGCTCACTTGTTCATGAATTACATGGTGTAAAGCAAATTACTGTCGTATAGAAACTATTAAAACGAGTTGCATTATGAATATTTTTAATTATAGAGATACAGAAAAGCAGTTGTTTTTCAGCAGGCAAACAAGCCTAATTTTATGGGAGTAGCAGCATATAGAAGGACTGTAAATAGCCCTTACTGCACAGTCTATTTATAATTAAGTTAGCATACACTCCCATCACACTGTTATGTTTGGGTTTGCACCATGTAATTTCACTCCTAAGAATCAACAGTGGAAATGAGAAATAGGGCATTTAGGACTGCCACGTTAAGCAGCCATCTTTTCATATTTTTATTCTGGATTCAGACCTAAGGAAATTAGTCACGGACAGCCCAGGAAAGTGCATGATGTGTGACATGATGTGTGACTAGAAAGAGAAGCCCTTTCAAGCCCTGCCAAGCTGCCTTAATTACAGAAAGAACAACTCCCATTGCAGGTAAATATTAAAACGCACCAGCAATCAGTATCACTGTGCACAAATACTGTCCTTTACCCATGAGCTCTGTTACATCACCTCAGTACTGTTGGGTACAGCTCAGATGTGTAAATATACAGGATGTTGAAAGCAGCGCTGATCATCATCTTCCCACACAAGGCTAACCACGTGGGGCTGAGGAGCAGACCTTTCAGGGAAGAGAAAACAAGCTGTAAGCATCAATAGTCCATTTTCTCACTCTTTTTCACACAATGTTGAAAACACCCAGTCCTCTTTAAGAGACTGTCACAGAAAAACTGTTTTTCAACTACAAGCACAAAAGTACTATCTCTGCTGTTTCCCACCATTTTAAGAGCTAGCATAAGAAATAATACATAAAATTATATTCAGGACTGAAAAACTTGGTCTCTTTTTTTGGGGAAAGGAAAATTATCACAGTTCTAGAAGGAAGGGCTAACACTTCCAGCTCTGCAGTCAGCAGTCTTGACAGGGTAACCATGTCTTCTGACAAGCACAAACAGACAACACAGCCTGCTTGACTAATTTATTAGATTAAAACCTAAAACTTGATTCACCTCAACAGTTTATTTGCTGCCCAAGGACATCCTATGGGGACGTAAAATTCAGCAACTTTGTAATTGGGAAGAAGAAATGCCAGTGCAGCCCAGTTTACCAATAGGCAGAGTTTAGCTGGCTAAACTGAATTTTGCCCTTGAATATTTTCATTGCATTCATCTGATCAAGTTGGATCCTATTTCAACTGAAGCAGAAATTAATTTGTACAGAAACTAAAATCTGGAAACTTTATTCAATGCCTCTAAGCATGATGTGTTTCTGCAGTTATTTCTGTAATTCATGCCAAACAGATGCAGCAGTTTCATCCAAGTTCTCCTTTTGCTCAGTAAGGACTAGAATATTAGATTCAGTTGCCAGATGCAGGAGGTGTGAACCTGGTCCTCAGAGCCCTGCTGGGTGCCATCGGAAAGCTGGGACACCTCTTTTCTTCCATTATCCAAACAGAAAGCGATGAGTAACAGACCTGTAACTCTCAAATGTGTTTTAAAACTTGCTCTTTCTCTCCAAAGGAGATGTAACTTGAACACTACATATCCATATATTATAAACTGAGCATCAGTGCACTCGGGAAGTTTTAGTCTTACTATCAAAACAGAAGAAAGAGTCTGTCTAGACAGAGAGATTAGCACTCAGAAGCTCAAGAGTGAATTTCAAATGCTGTGTCTTCTCCAGGTTCCCTCCCTCAGGGGAGGCTGAAGCCTGCCTCGTGTGGCATTACTGCAGGATTAGAAGCACACTAGAAATTCACTGCACATTAGCTCTTTGTGTAAGGAAGCCCAGACATACACATATTATCCTTGCAGTCTTGGAACATACTTTTAGCAATTCTTGCACAATATTCCGTTATTTTCTTTACACGTGTGAAATCTAACCATTAAGTAGGCAAGCACTTTCTCCTGTGGGAATTCTGCTCATCTTTTATAGCTCATATGATAAGTTCAGCCAAGCATGTTCATGCAACATCCTTAACACTTTTATTTTGTCTAACACCCTTTCCCCTGAACATCCAGCAGCAATGGCATACACTCAGTTCTGCCTGAAATGGTACAGTTAGGGCACCTGTTTCAAATTGTGGCAAAAGGCAAAAGCTCCAAATTCTCACTAAATTAATGCGTTTGGGCTTTATTGATAAAACCTTCCATTACTTTATCTTTCCAATTTAACGAGACAAAACAGAGGAAAATGGTAACAGGGCTGATGTTTAAGAGCTTCCAAAACAGGAGTCACAAGATTTTATGCCATCACTGCCATGCAAGGTCCCACTGGCAGTGCCATTATGTAAATTCACCTGGTGACTATCATTGTTGGAAGTAAAAGTTCACTTCAGCAGTGTTTTTGAAACTAAATGAGTCTTAAAATTTACTTCCAAGAAGTATCCACCAAGGAAAGTGATTTCTCAACAAAATATTTAGAAAAGCTGAGACAACTAATTTTCAGATCTGCCAATGTTTTTTTCTTCAACAGAAAGTGTGTCAATGAAAGTCACAAAAAGTTGTGTTCACCATAAGCAGGTCAATCTAAATGGAAATTAAAATCTAGTTCTTCCTAGACTGTCAGTCTCCTTTGCTTGCTGAAGTATGAAGCAGAAACATGCAGACGGTGCCTCTGTTCTTTACAGCAGCTTTTTAAAGAAAAGAATGTAACATCTCCCTTCCCCCCATTACCACTCTCACCATCTTACAATCTCATACAAATTAATTGATGAGTTCTAAGTGACAAGGAAGAGGGAGATGAGGGATACATCAGTTTTTACTGAAGCAGAGAGACTTTTAGTCTCAAATTCAGTACACATGGTTAATAACTGAAGTGTTCTTGGCTTATTTCACAGGGGAGATGACTTGGATCAGATCCTCACTGACAAGTTAGCAGAGTTATTTAGCAGCTGAGTGAAGGTCACCGACATGAGCAGCCAGTGCCCAGTACCTCATTAAAATCTTAAATCCCATGTAATAAAAATCAAGGTTCTTGTCAATCACTTCAAAAAATGCTGACTCAAAGGTAAGACATCTTCTCTTGACTAACAGGAGGGTCAGATCAGAGATGCAGCAACCCTCATTCATCCAGCAAAGTGACTCATCTTCATCATGCTTGGTGCTCAATTTCTTCTCACTTAACTGACACAAATGACTCTGGGCCAAGAACCAGCTTTACTCTTGCCACAGTGCAAAGGCATTTTAATGGGATTAAAATAAACTCAACTGGAAAAGGCAGAAGTTTTCCTGAAATTTAGCAACTCTTCAAGAATTATTAACCTATCCTGAGTAGTCTCCACTGCTTTTCTTTCATTTTGTTTTAAAATACATAAAAAGAAGCACAGAGAGCAAACTTGTTTGAACAAAGGAAGAAACTGTCTCAATAAAAGGAGTGACAAAACATCTGAGGACTTGAATTAACCCAAGTATAGCAAATAGGATTATGGGATGTTTTTCCTCTCCTCATTTTTCCTCCTGAGATTTTCCTGACATCCATTTGAAATGGATGCCAGGCAGCATTTATAACTGTTAAGGATAAACACACATCCTATGGAAGGCTATCTTGTAATCACATTGCTGGCATGCTTCGGTGAAACTTCTACTGAAGCCACAATAAGAAAAATACAAGCAGAGAGTGGCTACTCCTATTTCCTAGTCTCATACAACATTAAAACTCTTCTGTAGCTAAATTAACTGCTAGTATAGAAAAAACTGAAAATATAAAATTCCACATTTGTGAATGTCACTGACAATGTCAGAAAAAAAATACATTGAGATGAGAAACATACTTGCTTAGACTCCAGTTACCATTAACTGTCCTCACAACTGCACAGTGCAGCAAGACACAGTCTTGCTACTAAATCCAGCATTGTAAGTAAACTGTTTAAGCCACAAATGAACGCAGTGTTATTATTTGAGACAGAACGTTATGGCTTGGTCTGACCTTCCAAGAGCCAAGGGCTTGCAGTCAGACAAACCTGATCAATTAGCAGGGTCAAATTATGCCAGCAAGAAGTTAAAAACAATATAAGACAAGACCATGGCTCCCCAACCAGCCCCAGAAGGGAAAGACAGAATGAAAGAGGTATAAATGGCTAGGGCTTTAGGCCCTGATATACTTGCTCACAAAATACTCATATAAAGTTGTTTTGTCAGATTTTATCTGCATTAACAAACATCTATTTTAGCAGCAGTACAAGCTTACCAGCATTTGTGGGTAAAAACATGGTAAACATACAGGCAAATCCTGCAAATATCAGGAAACATGTCATAGTTTTACGTCTTCCACTCCTAGAAGGAAAAGAACACCCAGATGAAGATGGAAACCAAGTCCTTTGGTATTTTTTTAATACTATCTTAAGTACACAGACATATTAGTAAGAGTTATAATCTATTTTATCTTGCTAGGTGCTTCAAATCCTGTACTGTTTTCTCAGCTCTGTGTACCAAGGTCCTATTTCTGGACATGCTTTGATTTTTAAGCTATTAAATTTGTAGCCTTGAGAAGAACCTCTCTACTTCAGCAACAAGAACTCAGACTTCTTTCTTTTTACTGAGCAAGGCAACGGGTCCTGTCACCAAAAGAGCATAAACACAAAGATCAAATTCATGTCAGTCAAGAAAATGATTCTAATGTTTCTTAATCTGTATTTTTCTTTACATAAATTTAGGCACTTACGACACAGTAAAACTAATTTGTGTTCTTTTCTCTCTGTGTGCACACAGAAATAAGCTGGTTTTTTTTCTATTGCTCTTTGTTTTAAAGGAGAACACAGCAGATAGAAAATCACCAGCCCACCTCCACATCTGCCATACTTAAATATTTCATAATTATCTGCAAAGGAGAACAGATAAAGATACTGTAAGTAACAATTTGCAGGCATGTAGGAATACTACAGACGCTTGTTACTTTATGAACTCTCACAGCTATTTCTAAATACTACCCCATACTAGTTGAACTATAGTTGACCTACAAGATACAAAGTTTGCTTTTAACATCTTCTAAATCTTGCAACAAACAAACTATACTTTAAGGATACTGCTCACTAAAACTGAAAGAAAACAGAGCAGGGGGGTTTTCACACTGTTTTGCATTAAGCTCCTAGAACTACACACACCCTTACTTTGGGAAACAAGAAGACTGTCAAAATAAATTGCAAATTTCAAATTAAAATAGAAGGAAAAACATGTAGAAAAGGACTTTTGTAGTTTATGGTTTAAATACATGTCCTTGATCTAGTTTTTCTGGACTGGGGGTGAAGGTTGGTTGTTTGTTTTGCTTTTGAGCTTGTCCAAGGTGAGAGCTTCTTTTACTGCCCAAAGAAAGCAAAATGTGGAATTCTCCACCTGAATGAAGGAAAGGGGATTTCTGCCACTGACCTCAGTGAGACCAAGGTGTCATTAGAAAGATATTCAAACTGAAGGCTACATGAAATCTTGAGTAGCTCTGGGTTACCAGACAGACTGTTTGGCCTTTGATAATAAGTACCCAGGCAAAGGATGGCAAGAAACACTAAAAAGTATGAAGACCCGTGACATCAACCATTCATGCCTTCACAAAAACTGGGCAGCTCTCATTCCAAGCTCTCTTTGAAAAGTTTCAGTAAAATTGAACACTTCTGAAAACTGCTTCCACCTGCAGTTGGTATGCAGTACAAAATAAGTAATTCTGAATAAAATATGTAAGAGAAATACAAGCTATAGATACTTGCATACCTCAGTTAATTTTCCCCCCATGAAGACCCAAGTTTTCTTAATAACATGAATAATTGAAGTGCTCATCTCTTGAATAATTAAAAAAATGACAATAATAGAAAAGATAAGAGGTAGAAAAATCAGTCCCATTTCTCTAACAACTGCAGAAACCCCTGCAGCAGAGCAAGTCCCCAAAGAATCAACTGTTTTAGAAAAACAGTGAAGCAACTTCCCAAGAAAAAAAAAGGAATCTTTTTCTAGGTTATCTACACATATATGTAGAAAGCTAGGAAATATTTTTTTTTCTTACCAGGATTTCTCAATTAAAAACATGCAGAGAGGAAATGCTGGAACTTCTACAAGACCGGAAAGAGCCACATTTAAATACAGGTTTCCTCTTAATTCACCAGCATTTAAAGTTAGACCATAGTACACAAAGCTGCAGACATACCTAAAAAGAAACATAAAAGTTACATTACTAATATAACTGGCCTTCAGGGCTAAGAAATTATTTAAAAGATAAATTATGCTGAGTTATGGAGCAGCTAGATTGAGTTAGATGCTAAGAAGAGAATCCTTTACATCCCCCTAAAGGGAAACAAGGCAAAGAGAATAGTTCCTAATTAATGTAACTTCTTGAAAGAAAACAAATTATCATATATATGCACAGCACAACACTCAACTTTCTATTACCCTGTTTTTTTTCCTAAGTAGCAGATGTAATAAGCTTAACTCTAAGTAGATTATGCTCAACTGTTGCAAAGCAATCCTATGAAAGAAAATATCTACATCCATTGCCTAGCACAACAGTGCTGCAACCTCTTCTTCCAGAATGCTAGAGTGCTTCATCCTGTTATTTCTCATCACCATGATTACTTTCATTTACCCACCACCAACATAAAGAGCCTAAGATTATTATGGAAAAGCCCTACTTTGCAAAGACATTCCTGTCATTTCTCCCACATCCTGCACATCTCTGCTTATCCCACACATCCATTCACCATTTTCCCCCATCTACATCTGACAGTCATCTGAAATGTAATGTTGAACTTTCAAGGGAAAAGTTGTTTTGGAAAAAAGAGCTCTTCTCTCAACTAATTTAGTTCAAGACAATTTGCAACAGCTGCTGCTGTAGCAACCAACCCAACACCCTCCCCACCCCAGGGACCCCCTTTCTGCTGCCATGTATTGCTAACATTCCACATTACATCTGACTGCACTTTGAGGCTGTTTTTTTCCCCTAAAGTTGTACAACTTCAAGACAGCAACTCGTATAAACCTATGCAATCTGAATTTTATCTGGCACACAGTTTTCCTGCACTGAACCCGTGTAATTATCTTCTCAGCTCTTAAAAACTCCAGATACCTATAGTTGCCCAATCCACCTACATCTTTTCTTCCTACAACTATTTCAAATACACATACTCTTAGTAATTTCTGCTTCAGCTTCTCATTGCACTCAGTGTAAGTATTCTGTCCTCACCAGATTATTTCTTAGCAGGTTCTGAAGCAGTTTCTAAGTAACACCCATAAAACACAACAGCAATAATAATGAAACTTCATGACATTTTAAATTATTGTTGCCCACTAAATTGACAAGTTTACGATTTAGTTAAATGAAAAGGATGAAAATCTTGATAGTTTCCTCTTGCCTGACTCATTCACAGCATCTCAGCCTCTTGCCATTACATACCAGACATACATCAGTATGACAGTTCGCCACCGAAGCATCGGGTGTTTTACTAAGTTTAGGACACCAGGCGTAGATTCATCTTTTTGCAAAGTTCCTGCATTTGGTTTTAATTTTAGATTTAATCCCTCTTTTCCATTACCAAGGGCAATATACTGCAACACATCTTCAGCTTCTGCCATCTTCCCTTGGGAATACAGCCATCGTGGTGACTCTGGGAGCATACTAACAGGCAAGAACAGAAAATCAACGACAAGTTCATTCCTATGAATGAAGCACTGAAGGAAATCTTTCCATTTTGCAAGCCACTACTTGAAAAAAGCACTATTCCAAAATTCTGAGAAAAACATTCTATTTGCACTGTTCTGCATATTGAATTCCATGTACTCTGATAACAATGCAGTTAAACCTTAGAGAAGAACTGTTGGAGAGGCTTGACAAAGCCACAGAGTCACGTTAGGAGTTTTACTCTTGACTGCTGCTGAACTAACTTCTTCAGAAACACTGCACTAGCATTATCCAGGGACCATCTCAAATCCCAACTGTCTGAAAAGCCCAGATGAAACTGTTTTCACAAAGTTTATTTCAAGTTTCTCTGTTATGGGAAGGGCTCTGAGTTTGAGTGGACAGAAGAGTAAAGAAACCTTACTGGGAAATAACTTTCCTGGCTCCAGTACCAGCTCATTTGTACTTGCACAACTTCTGAATTTCTTATTTCAAAGTATCATCAGAATATCCTTGCTTACAGCAACATTGATTCAGAATTCTTGTTTTTTTTCAGATTGTAGAGAATGCTGCTACTTTTATATAAGCCATAAAATAGAGCAAGGAATATTTTTAACTGAATCTTTATTTTTTGTGGTACCCTTAACAGAGATATACATCCTACAACCTTTCATTACTTCAAAGCATCCCAGGTTTTTAATATTTGGGGGAAGTAATTACATTTCCATCAGAAACAGAACACCATGGAGGAAAACACATGATGCAGAACTCCCTTCCCTTAGCCCCAAGGCTTTGCGCTTTCCTTGAACTAGTGCAGAGTTTTTTTGGATCTATGGTCTATGATAAACATTCCCTGTATTACTGTGTAGACAACATACTCCACTCTATCTTTTCTTTCTTCTACAGCTCTAATTAGGGGTCAGAAACATACATGGTATAACAACACCGGGCAAAGCTAGCACTTTCAATTCCTTAAGTACTGAAGCTTTTCGCCATAATTTTTATTACAACCTCCGTGTAGGAATTCTAAGTAGAAGCATCCAATTTCAACAGTGCTAAGTAAACACAGGAGGTATCTGAAAAGCAAGCAGATACAGCGCATATCACACTAAAAGGCCAATTCCAAGTGTTCTCACTTATTTCCCTTTGCATGCACGCATCTCATGAAACTCTAAAACCCCTCTAGGATCATTTCCAAAACATCTCAAGTGGTGAAGCCCTTCCTTGGCAGAAGGCAGTGTTCCTGGCTGGTGCTCCAGCTCACAGCCTCTGGCATGCTTTCTCTTCTCCAAGCACATTTGTAATCAGGTTTTATTGGACAGCTGGCACACAGCTGCTCTTTGCAACACTGGCCACCACAACTGGAACAGCATGCAGAGACATAACTTTGTCTTCTGGGTAACCCTGACCTTCTACTTCATTTAAAACTGCTTCTTCTTCACAACACTGTTCTTCTCTTCCACACAAAAATGTCACCCTCGTTCATATCATTCTCTTGAATGATGACCAGAAAAAGTAACTGTTAAAAAGCTGCGTATTTTTTTCCTGTTGTTGTAATGCACATGAAACACTTACAAAGAGAGGAGGAGGAAGAGGACTCCTGGAGTATTTGATACCAAAGCAAGGTGGCGCCATTCTCTGACACAGTAACCCAGTAAAGCATAAACAGCAATGCCAACTGCAAAGGTCAAGTTAGTTAATGAACCTGAAAATACAAGACCAAAAAGGTGACTACAGAAACCACTGGGGCAAAAGAAAAAAGTAAGCAGAAGCCTGAAATTCCTAGCCTGTGATATACCTAAATAGTAATAAAAACTTGCAAGTACCTTTATGGCACTCGTGAACCAGCTGGCTTAATATACGATGCAATTCCAAATAATAACTTGGCATAATGTCTGGGGATCCTTTCCAGAAACGAAGGACAGAGCAAGAAATTAACAGGAAACTACAGACTAAAGAGAAAACCTGAAGACAGGAAGAGGAAGTGTTAATAGTGATTTATTTAGGTCTGTAAAGGTCATCTTGAACAGAGGTGACAGGCTGGAACAGAAATTGGAAGAAAGCTATACAAATACAAGGACTGAAATCAGAATGAAAACAGCTGCAAGCCAGAGATATTTACAGCAGACTTCTGCTGAACAAGCACAATAAAAATGTCCAAGTATCAAGTCAACTTGAACTCCCAAAGCCTTACAACAAACCCTCTACAGACTAACACAGGAGATCTTGTATTAACCCAGAGACTCTCAGCTATAGCCCACAAAGCCTAGCTCCCAGCCAACACCTGGAGAGCTTCTTCAGCACTGCTGAGATGCATCCAGCAGTTCCCTCTCCTTCAGCCCCTGATCAGTTGTTCAGCTGCTCTTTCTCAACAGCTGAGCAGAACTAGAGTAAAGCATCTAGAGTGCCAAGCAGCAAGAAACAATCGGCCTGTCCCTTTGCTCCATCAGGAGGTCAGCCTTGCAGTAAGGCTGGGAAGAGGAGAGATAAACAAGAAGGCAAGGGGGAAGGAAGACTGAGAGACAGACAGGGTGAGAGTCAAAAAAGTGAACCCAGGAGAAGAAAAAAATTCAGTACTTGAAATTTGAAAGCTCTAACTAAACCACAACTGTCTCACACATCCCAGGAGTTCAGAAGAAAAACAGCAGGATGAGGTAATTGAAGAAATATGAGAGAGAGAAAGAGAGAAATATGCTCACAACCATAGCATGTCAACATTTGGACCAAGGTTTTCCCCATGTTGCACCAGCCAAAAAGACATTAACAGCCTGAGCTGCTCCAGCTTTACAGAAGATTGACAATCAAGTGTTAAATTTCTTCTAAGCCTTGGCAGTGATATATGAAAAAGGACATTTAAAAATAATAGATGGTCAGCACATTCAGCAGTGGAAAAAACACTATCCAGGCACTAAGTAATTTTGTGGAGCAGGGACACTTTAAAGAACACTTGCAAGGATACCTTCCTAAGGGACCACACAGCATCATTCACAAGTTGCCAGGATCTGCCAAAACTTTTTTTCCCCATGTAATTGAGTGTAAAAATTGGGAAATTTTAAGAGTCACTGTACCAATTCTAAAACTTCAATTCTGCTAGTTATCAAGCTCAATCCCATCTTCCTTATTCAGGCACATTTCCCACAGAAATTACAACTTGGATGCATCACATCACACTTATTTGACTTACACCACGAACAAACTTATTTGGTACAAACTTAATAATTTAGAGTGGAAAGTATTGATAGTCAGAACAACACATGGCACAGTAATAATGATGAAATATTCCCAAATCGCACCTGTAAATGACCAAAATGATTTTCCTACATATTCTTGGGTTAGCACAAAAGACACAAGAGCCATTCCACCATTCACAATTCCAACAAAAAAACGTGAAACTGCAAATACATCATAATTTGGAGCTAATGCTGTAACATACCCAAAAACAACATCAAAAAACAGACCTGTAGAGAGAGAATAAAATGTAATTAGTATTTATGCTATGCAGCTTGAACTCAGAAGAAAGGCAGGGAGCACAGTACTGACTATAATGAGTAGCCTATAGTCTATCTCTTGCCTCTCTCACATTTGGCTTCCTGAAATCACACCATATGAAAATTACAAATCATTTTCAAGACACACCCTTAAGGTCTGCAATGCCAAATATGATGTTTCCTTGAGACAATGTTACTGTTAAACAAAAGTCTCTTTTGGCTGCAAACACAGCTGAAAACCAGAACACTAGGACATGAGTTACCCACTCTAAAGATGCTTAGGTAATTCATTCTCCCACATACTCTCCCTCCCCAGTAAGCTAATTATTTTTATTGGAGACAATACTGTCAGGCAATGAATGGAATACTGTGCTCAAGCAGTGATAGCCATAGCAAAACCAAGTTATTTTTCATCTCCCACTGATATTCCAGTGACCACTATGCTGCCCAGCATGCTCATACTGACGCATTTTAGTGCTGCTCTTCTGAATGAAATGCTTATGCAGATCATCAGCTCCATAACATTGACACAGCAGAGTAGCCCAGGGGCATCTTCTTGGGCAGGGTGGCCCACAGGCAGAAAAGAATGAGATTTATCAATGTAGAATGCTTAAGAAAAACCTTTCAACAACCTTACCCGAGATATACACTGGTTTCCTGCCCAGCTTATCTGACAAAGGGCCAAATGTGATATTTCCAATAAGCAATCCAGCAAAAAACAGGGATGATGCAAGGCTCACTTTGTAGGCTTCTTGTTCAATCAGGTACCACTATTGAAAAAAATTTAAAATGTCCTTATTGTTAGAAGTATTAACAGCAAGTTGCTAGCTTACTCAAAAATAAAAACCTTTCAAAATTCTTATCTTGCCATTTCCCCCTTCTTGCTTTATATCCAAGTTAAGTTCTGTTCAAAGCTTGATAGGTAAGCCAACAGCAATCTTACCTCTTTCCTAGCAGACACTCACATCTCTACTTTCTCTCCCTCAAGCTAGTTCATTTTAATCTATTATAAGCTTTCACCTTGCTAAGTGTAACTAGTTGCACTCCAATTACCAAGTTTCAACAAAGCAACCTGAAACAAGCTTCGCTATTTCAATGAATAGGTAATTAAAAATATTCATTCACAAGAAGCAAGCATGTTCACTGTTGCAGAGTTCAGTGTGCAGCTAAGCTTCCTGAACCACGCGTCATCCCTGGTGCCTTTCCTCCTCATCTTCACACTGAATGGTGGAAGAGAAGCAGGAAGGTACTATGGAAAGATGACCTTGTTTTATGAAAACTCTAGGACCCACTTATTGATAGTTTAGTATCTTATTCTACACATGCATTTATAATAAAACAGAAGTTAGAAACAAATTATGGGTTTCTTGACTAAAGTTATGTTCTGCCTCATCCAAAAACTAAACTCAGGCAGCACAATGTAAACATGGTCAGAAAAGAAGAAAACCACTGACAGTGAGCAGCAACTGGAATGAAATTGGAATGAAACTTACACTATTTCCTGACAGGGCAAGGCACAGCCAGCTTGTGTAGCCCCCTGCTACCAACAAGGAGAATCAACACTCATAGAAAAGCACTGCTAAGATCACAAAGGTCACTGACACTGGTGAACTTGGGAAAGAATGGCAATCAGGAAACCCTGAGTGATTTTCCAGGAAAATAATTTAACAAATTCAATACAAAATTTCAGCCAAAGAAATATTTAATAATTGAGTATTTAAAGAATTCCCAGTGTATTTACTGTAAAATTTACTTTCAAAAAAGGACATGTCATGCACAGTGTGTGCTTTGTGGAAAGGAAGAAGGATCCTAATACCATTCCCCTTTTCTAAGGAGCAGAAGTTTAAAAAATAAGAGGCCCACGACCAAAATCCAATACAGCATACTAGGACCTCAGCCCTAAAGTGTCTGCCTTGAATTAATGCAGATTCCCATAGAATATAAGGAGCTTACTGAAACTTTTAGTTAAAGGAATGTCAAGAAACATACGCTTTTACTCAGTCTGAAACCACATAGTGGCTAAATACTGAGAAGACATGGCTCTATCCACCCAGCGACCCACCAGTGGCCTGTGCTCTGCCCATCCAGCAGTCTGCAAGATGCAGGCTGTGGGAGCAGGACAAGAGTTTATGCATTCACAGGACATCTTTAGTCCAGTGTAGCCAGTGCTCCAGCACTGCAGAATTTTGGGAGACTTCTCAATATTCTGGGAAGGTGAAACTCCTGAGCAGCAGCATTTGCAGCTGGCTTCTACTGTATCCTGCTAAGCAGTAGATTCTACCCTGTTGAACTGCATAAAAACATAGCTCTGAAATGTATAGGCTTCTTAGCTTCCTGAGGAGACAAATATTTCTGGGTGCAAATCCTCAGAAAACTTCCAACTATAAAAATACCACAGCATGTGTTCTCCAAAGCACAGAGCACTGCTGACTTCAGTCCTTTTCCACGATAGCGCTCCTCAGCATACACATTTCCAACTCCTAGTTCTCATCTCTGCAGAGTGTCTAAGGCTTATACAAGAGACAAATTAACTTTATGTGCCTGGATGTGGTTGTAGGAAACCACAGCTTCCACAGCAAATATAAGATGTTCCTGAACTCACCTTCCTAAGCACCATCACTTGTTGAATAAAGTAGGGGACTGAGTCAGTGCTAGACCAAGAAGTCATTCTAGCAGCTCCATTTTCCATGCCTGAGCTACTATCTATGAATACTTAGTTATGCCAAAATTAATTACAGTTATTAGTCCTTGAGGCAGATATGAAGCACTGGTCTGAAGTTGCACTGAGCTCCAGAGCTGAACAGTGCCCATGCCAAACCAGAACAGAAAATATTGGCATTTTAAGCTCCATCACCAAAATAAAGGAAATACACCTGACATAAACCAGCTTCCTTTTGCAGGACAGAACAGAGACAGACTGCTTCTGCAAACCATTACTTGTACTGCTTAGTGTGCCACTGAAAGGTGCTCATATTTTAACAAGTCTAACACAATAACCAGTGAAGAGTATAACTTTTAAAATAACATGTACATCTACTTTATTTGCACAAAAAGAACTCATGAAATATTTGTCAAAATTAATTGTAGCTTGCCAACAAAAACGTTGCCAATTTTTTATCTCCAAAACAGACATCCTCTCAGCTCTTTACATCCACATGGAAGTTTGATATAGTTACTAGGCTCCTAGCACACAGCATATCATCGGCCACCATCTGAAGATTTCATTAAAAAAAAGATTACACAATATGATTTTTGAAATCTTATCATAAACTTCCTGAAATTCGTGGGAACACAAACTTGTTTTGACACATCTCGAGAATTACTACATATTTTGGCAACAGGGACATTTGACTCCTACATTTAAAAATACAGTATTAGTCAAAATTTGCTGATTTGCGATTATAAATTAGCACTACCCCGTATCATGCATCTGGCTGAGAGTCTGACACTGAATGGTAATCTTGGAAAACAGGTTAATAAAAAAAAACACCTGTTTCTGACAGCGGATATGATCCAATCTTACATCACTCCTTCTTAAGTCTCATCACGACACTTTTCCAAGAGAAACATTACACAGTCACATCTGGGAAACTGGGAAGGAAGCAAAAGTTTGGCACTGACTGCACCAAATGCTAACCTATCTTAAAGGAGTTTACAGACAGCTGCTCCAAGAATTCCATCAGCAGAACTCTGACAGCTCATACTAGAAGCCAGGCCACACACAGCCATTCTCCTGGCACTGGCAGCAATGCTCACGTCACTTGTGCTTGCCTGAGTCATTACAGCCCAGGGACCAGCAAAAAGCAGAGCCTTTTGCATGGAATTCACAAGGCATGAGGATGAAGGGTCAAGCGTCTGTCCCACTCAAAGTTCCATCTCCCACACAAAAACACCCAGACATGTGGAGCATGAGTTTCATTTTCATACTAGTTTTCATCTTTAGGATGTATCTTCTGTGAGAAACCAATGCAGCTCACAGTAAAGCTGACATGCACAGCAGATTGTGCACACATGAAGAACTCAGCCTTTCCTTAGCAGAAAACAGACATTATGAGGAGTGCATCCTAAATTCCAGTTATGAACTGTAGTAAAATCATCATTCTTTATTAGTAATGGCTCTCTAAAACAACTGAAGATAAAGAAAATTGAAAAAATAGTTTAACCTAAATTAGTAAATATTAGATTTATATCAAGAAAGCTAAACCAGTGATGCAATCATATGCTTTCAGATTTAAAAATAAAAAAAGCCAGATGGGTGAGTTCCAGTAAATGTTAATAGCATAAACAAAACTAGACCCTGCTTAGCTTTTTCAAGTGCTACCTCCTGCACTAATGGCACAAATCCCAAGAAAAGAAGAAATGTTTAGGAGCAGCAGGAGTACATACCTCAGTTACTATAGATGTGAAGTTGTCTGCAAAATGGATATGCTTGGCAAGCTCAGCTTTGCTTGCCTGAATTCCTTCTTGGTCTATATGATACTCAGGCACAGCTCCCACAAGCACAATAAGCATCGACTGAAAAGCCACATATACCTTAAAAAAAGACACAGTCATTTATTCTAAATAACTCCAAGGACACCTGATGGGATACCGTAAGCTTTTAATTAAACTACTAATCAACAATTCCCCTTTACCCAGTATCACAAACACAATCCAATCAGCATTTCAATCCCCAGAGACAACCATGGAGGCATCTGGGAGCAGTAGGCACGACTCCAGAGACACGGCTGCACTTCCAGTGGAAGCTTCATCTTGCCACCCTCCTTCCTGTTGCCAAGTTCTTGAGCTTGTTCTTCCTGCTTCGCAGCCAGTCCCAGGAAAGGAAGATATTAGGAACTTCATCACAGTTTTGTAGCTAAGATCTAACCCTTAGACCAAGATTATTATTAAAAAGAGTTTACTTACTATACATAAAGAATAAAATTTGTAGTGAAAACAACAAAAAAAAAAATATCAGATTTTTTAAAACCTCTGCTAGTTCTTCCCATTGCAGAGACTGAAACTTTAACTTGATCATTAGAAAAAACTAGGCATAAAGAAGATGGGTATAAAGAAGGCATAAAAGCATAGGCATCAAGACCTTAATAAAGAAACCCTTATTTGTTTATCAGCGTGGTCCTCAAGATCTTCTGAATGGCTTCTGGGTTTTGCACGTGGTTTATTTTTCCTAACTTAAAATAACACTATCCTTCAGCATATCCAAATATTAATGATTTTCAGCACATTACTATCAATGGACAAGTTTTTACTCTAGAACAGCTGTTCATTAGGTGAAGTCTTTCGGGTGGAGGATTTGATTGGACCTTGTTTTGGTGTGCCATTTTATCCTGTGCTTACCTTGAACGTTTTGGCAGAAACGAGTTATGAAGAAAACCCTGCAATCAACACCTCCCCCCTCCCTGACAAGAGCGTTTTAATTCAACACGCAGAACTGCACAAACAGGAGGGACACCTGCCGAAGAGAAGCTGGACCAATGTTTGCATGTGGGGGTGCGGACGCTATTTAAAGACAGCACCCTGAAGGTCACTTTTCAGAATGGTATGGGTTTGTTGTTTTGTTTTTTAGAGGAAAAAAAGCCACCAGCAAAGCAGCTGCTGGGGTGAGACTCCATTTCCTTCCACTCAGAGAAACTCGGAAGGCACTCTTTGCACAAAGATACGCGTAGAAAGCAAGGAAAACAAAGTCTTCTGAAAGTTAAGCATGTGAGGTTTGAAAATAAACTCGCAAAAGGAACAAACCCCCTCCCGGATCCGTTCTGAAACGCTGATGAGACGGAGCGGGGGCCGGCGAGGATGTGTCTGCCCGGGAGGTGCTCGCGGGGGTGACTCCCCCATCCTCGGCAGCAATTCCTACCTGGAGCGCAGGGAAGCGGCGGGGGCAGCGCCCGGGAATGCGTAGGGCCGGCAAGGAGCCCCGAGGCGGAGGGGCCGGGCAGGGAGCGCTGCCCAACGGGGAAACGTGCCCCGGGCTCGTCAGACACCCCGGCGGGCCGTGCCCTACCCGCGCGC